CGTATTGTTAATTTTACATATTGTAACTTTAAATTAAAGAAAAAAAAGTAAATGAAAAAATGTATAATAAAGTTGTGATTGTTGCAAGAAACATATTTTACCTAATAATTTTTTAATACTATTAGTTTGTAATACATAATATATTATTTTTTCTGCCATAATAACTAACTTTTTTCTGTACCCCTAAACAACCTATCGCGTACCCCTAGGGGTACGCGTACCACAGGTTGGGAATCGCTGTTCTACATAGTTACCACCATTGTTCAGACATTTGTCATGTCGAGAAACCAACTTGTCTACACCCTCTTCAAAGAAAGATGCCGCCAGTGAAGACAGCCACTGCTGAACATCGGTTGTTGCAACAATCTCATGCAAAACAGTATTTGAAATTTGTGGAAACTCGTCACAAAGCAATCTTATTGTGAACCATCTGTTTTCAGGAATTTTTTCATTCTCTTTTGCAACCAAACCATCATTGACAACAGAAGGCCAGCCACTCCATGCTTCGTCATGAACATCAGTGCGTTCAGCATTGAATTGTTGAACCCACTTTCTAACCATTCCATCACTCATTACATTTTCACCATAAATCTCTACAAGTTGACAATGAATTTCAACTGGCTTAACATTCTTTGCATTCAAAAACCATATTACAGAATGCACTTCACAGTTGGCATGATCGGCAATAGTCTTAAACATTTTGAACGCTCACTAACACGTGGAAAAACAACACAATCCGGCTGTAATGGCGTCACTGGACTGACAATCAACCAGAGAGACATGTGCGCAGGCGCTGAACTGCGATACTACCACTGCAATGGCGGTAGAATGAAACGGTACTTACTTTCCGGACATGCCTCATATATATGAATCAATGAAATGCCACAATAATTTAAATTGATGTAAATTTTGAGCTTTTTTTTTTTTAGGCTTTGAGCATGCGGCATTATATCGAATCAGCATTAAGCGAGGTCTTACTGTATATTATATTAACTTTACAAGTTACTACTATTATATATTTTATCAAATTTTAAAAAGAATTATTATTTTATATTAGATCAATAGAATAATTTGTCAATTGTAAATATGTAAAGTAAATAAATTATAAGTAGAAAATTATTGAATGAGATTAGTAAAATTAGACCTATAAATTTCTATATTGCCATCCATTCATTTGTCCATCCATCCATTGTTTGTTAATCTTGAGAACAGAGTTAGATAGATGAAAATCAAGACAAGATATGGAAAGCTTGGGGCCAGAGGCTCCAATTAACTATGTGTGAACTTCTGGTCTGGACTGGAAGTCACATGATTTTTAAAATTAAAATATGATTTAAAATTTCAGCTCGGCTTTGTGACAATGTCACAATAATTAATCGCTGGTTTAAATTTTATAATTAAATCTAAATATCATAATTATCAAGCTTATAAAATAAGACATAATAAATAGTTGTAGTTATTATGTCATTAACAATTCATAAAGATTTCATTTTGTATTAAAACAGATGGCGATGGCTGTAAATAATCAAAAGCATTTGTTCCTTTATAAACTTTACTGAAATGTAGTGTAGAATCTTTTTATTTGTCTCATTATTCATAAATATAGAATTATAAAAATAAAAAACGTTTTCCCGGGAAATTTATTTACTGTAAAATATACTTCAGAAGTGATTTTATTTTCTGTAAGAAAAGTATTTATTTGTTTTTTTTTTATTTATTTATTTGTCATCTGTTATATTTTCTAGTATTTTAGTTTAAGTCAGCATCCATTTTTACTTGCATTATGTTTGAAATAAATCACATGAATAGTAATAAAATTCATTTTAATAACATACACTTTTCAAAATTATTTTTATATATAATTTTGGTTTAGTTCTAGCAGTTGACATAAAAAGTATAACTTAACATTCTCTTGCAATTTCTACATTATAATTTTAAGTATTTCTTAAAGTAAATGAATAAATAATATATATATACATGATGTACATTTGTGATATATATATATATATANGAAATCACGTCATATTAATTCAAATATTTTCCCCCCGAAAGGTGTTAGATACATGACTCTATTGTTAAAGGAAAAATATGATGGACAGTGGCAAGCCACTACTAATTTGAGATGAGAGCATATATTTTATGTAGTTTAAATTGAATCTAAATCAGTAAGAAATCTTTACAAACAGGTTTAGTGATTAAAAATAACTGTATTATATTATTTTTTAACATTTTTATTTTTAAGTATAATTTTTGTTAAGTTTATTATAATTGAATTACAGCAATATAAAACTTCTTGTTTTTGAGGTTTCGTAATTGTGCATTTCAATTTTTTTACATAGAATACATTTTGTATTTTATTCACATGCTGCCAAATCACTTTAATCCATATTAGCAATTTACATTTACATTTTATGTATCATCATCAATAGAAATAAACTATTACATTCATTATACAAAAATTATAACAAACTTTTATCGAAAAGTAAATAATAATTTTGTCTGTAATTACACTGTTAATAAAAAGAAATAACAAAATTTGTTTGAAAAATAGATTAATTGAAATATATTTTAATAAAAACAGTTGAATGATTAAACTTTTATTCAATAGATGTGAAAAGTAAAGATGAAATTCATATTATAACAATTATTTAAGAAGAGTCAGTTTATACAGAAAATGTAGTAGAAAAAATGATTAATTGCATTCTTCTAATAGTAATTTATTTAATTATTAAATACAATGTGGCATATTATAAGATTCAGTCTCAGGTATTATTTTTTATTGTAGAAAATTAGACTAAGGATAATTCTTAATTTGAAGTTTAAATTTAGCAACCGTCTTGAGCATTTTTTTTTCCATCTAGAACTGATACGTTATTTAGATAGCATTTAATTTATGAAAGTAAACAGTATGAAATTTATAAAAAATAAATTGATTTTCTTAATCAGAAAATGTTAAATTTAATAATTGCAATCCATTACCATTAATATTTATTTAAGAATTAATATTTTCTACAATTTTTAAGTACAGAATAAAATTTCCTATTAACATAATTTCATAAATTAAAACACACTTAATTATTAAATATTAGTACAGAGAAATTAGACTAATTAAAATTAAAAATAACTAAGAAAATTTTACATTTAACATCATTCTATGATATAATAGTCTAGACATAGATATATACTGATCTCTACATTTAATATTAAGATAATAAATTATTTCAAATAATTATATGGTGGAATTTCGATGTAATGAGAGCGAGTGCATAATGCAGAAATGTCCTTCATATAATAAATATTCATTATAATTACTTCCTAATCAATATATTTATCAATACTTTAAAAATGAAGAAATTATTTTCTTCTTAAATTTAACTATATTAAATATTTAAAAAAGTATACTAATGTATGAAAGCATATGCTAATTTTATTATTGGTTTTTAGATTCAGCCATTCATTAAATGGTTAATGGAAGCCGAAGAGGAATCCTCCGAAGATTAAATACATCCTAATGACAGTTGTTGAGCATACTTAAAATATTTGAGGACAAATATTTAATAAGGATTCCAATTGTTAATGTGTTAATTGTGTTCAAGACTTCACTCTTTTCAAGTCAAACAAATAACTTGTTGAAGCCAAAATAATATAAAAATTTAAATATTATGAATTCTTTTTAAAAATTTGAAAAAAAATTTACTAAAATCTCTTTAGTATTATGTTTGAATAGTTATTATATCATACAAAACTTGATAGTTTGAAAAAATGGTGGACAAGAAATTATACTTCCTATACAGTCCAAGCATTCAAATATAAACATTTGAAAGTAGAATTTTTTACTCGTCAATATCAATTATAATTTTAAAGAAGTAAAGATAATTAAATATTATAAAGTTGTTTTTATATTATATATCATATGTTAGACAATAGGATAATCAAATATATTAATGCCACATAATTNAGCAGGAGGCACCAATTAACTATATACGAACTTCCGATATAAACCGGAAATCACGTCATATTAATTCAAATATTTTCCCCCCGAAAGGTGTTAGATACATGACTCTATTGTTAAAGGAAAAATATGATGGACAGTGGCAAGCCACTACTAATTTGAGATGAGAGCATATATTTTATGTAGTTTAAATTGAATCTAAATCAGTAAGAAATCTTTACAAACAGGTTTAGTGATTAAAAATAACTGTATTATATTATTTTTTAACATTTTTATTTTTAAGTATAATTTTTGTTAAGTTTATTATAATTGAATTACAGCAATATAAAACTTCTTGTTTTTGAGGTTTCGTAATTGTGCATTTCAATTTTTTTACATAGAATACATTTTGTATTTTATTCACATGCTGCCAAATCACTTTAATCCATATTAGCAATTTACATTTACATTTTATGTATCATCATCAATAGAAATAAACTATTACATTCATTATACAAAAATTATAACAAACTTTTATCGAAAAGTAAATAATAATTTTGTCTGTAATTACACTGTTAATAAAAAGAAATAACAAAATTTGTTTGAAAAATAGATTAATTGAAATATATTTTAATAAAAACAGTTGAATGATTAAACTTTTATTCAATAGATGTGAAAAGTAAAGATGAAATTCATATTATAACAATTATTTAAGAAGAGTCAGTTTATACAGAAAATGTAGTAGAAAAAATGATTAATTGCATTCTTCTAATAGTAATTTATTTAATTATTAAATACAATGTGGCATATTATAAGATTCGGTCTCAGGTATTATTTTTTATTGTAGAAAATTAGACTAAGGATAATTCTTAATTTGAAGTTTAAATTTAGCAACCGTCTTGAGCATTTTTTTTTTTTCCATCTAGAACTGATACGTTATTTAGATAGCATTTAATTTATGAAAGTAAACAGTATGAAGTTTATAAAAAATAAATTGATTTTCTTAATCAGAAAATGTTAAATTTAATAATTGCAATCCATTACCATTAATATTTATTTAAGAATTAATATTTTCTACAATTTTTAAGTACAGAATAAAATTTCCTATTAACATAATTTCATAAATTAAAACACACTTAATTATTAAATATTAGTACAGAGAAATTAGACTAATTAAAATTAAAAATAACTAAGAAAATTTTACATTTAACATCATTCTATGATATAATAGTCTAGACATAGATATATACTGATCTCTACATTTAATATTAAGATAATAAATTATTTCAAATAATTATATGGTGGAATTTCGATGTAATGAGAGCGAGTGCATAATGCAGAAATGTCCTTCATATAATAAATATTCATTATAATTACTTCCTAATCAATATATTTATCAATACTTTAAAAATGAAGAAATTATTTTCTTCTTAAATTTAACTATATTAAATATTTAAAAAAGTATACTAATGTATGAAAGCATATGCTAATTTTATTATTGGTTTTTAGATTCAGCCATTCATTAAATGGTTAATGGAAGCCGAAGAGGAATCCTCCGAAGATTAAATACATCCTAATGACAGTTGTTGAGCATACTTAAAATATTTGAGGACAAATATTTAATAAGGATTCCAATTGTTAATGTGTTAATTGTGTTCAAGACTTCACTCTTTTCAAGTCAAACAAATAACTTGTTGAAGCCAAAATAATATAAAAATTTAAATATTATGAATTCTTTTTAAAAATTTGAAAAAAATTTACTAAAATCTCTTTAGTATTATGTTTGAATAGTTATTATATCATACAAAACTTGATAGTTTGAAAAAATGGTGGACAAGAAATTATACTTCCTATACAGTCCAAGCATTCAAATATAAACATTTGAAAGTAGAATTTTTTACTCGTCAATATCAATTATAATTTTAAAGAAGTAAAGATAATTAAATATTATAAAGTTGTTTTTATATTATATATCATATGTTAGACAATAGGATAATCAAATATATTAATGCCACATAATTTTAAAAGCCTGATTAGATATTTGGCAAAGTGAAATAAATGACAGAGACTTCTGAAAGCAATTGTGATTACAAATTCTTTTATTTTAATGTGTATTTAGCAGTGGGATAACTGAATTTTCAGTTATACTACTAATATTTATTGTATATTGTTGTTAGTGAAAGGGTAGCTTACAAAATTTTATTTATATACAATTAAATTGATAATTTAAACTAATAATTAAAACTTAATAGAATATAAAAATGTTCATTATTAAAAATATACTGTATAACTAATAACAGATTTTCAATGATTTAAAAAAATGTAAATAATTATATATCAACCACGCTGTTTTGTATAATAAATTTCCTGTGTTTTTTTTTTTATTAAAATAGTTTTATTTTATCACTTTTTAGTATAAGATTTTCATTAAATCATTTATAGTTTTAAAAATTTTCTATTTAAAATTTTTGAGATTATTTTTTGAAAAGTGTATATTTTAATAGAATGAATGAAAATGTGGAAGAAAAAAAATAAAAAAAATATATTTATGTATATAAATATAAAACTTTCAAAACTCTTTTATCAAAAAAGAGGAGTTTTACGATTTGCACCTTGGCCTCTCCACTTCCACAAACTCATATTACATGAATTGTGTTAGCAACATAGATCTTACTAGCAACTTTTTAAGAGAACTTGATAGCGGCGAGAAAACTTTTCGATAATATGCGAATCATAAATTTCTAAGTTTAGATCTACCAGATCAGACTACATACGTATCTTGTAAGCTTTTATGCTGCTCTTGATTCTCCAAGAAAGAAAATATAAAAGAATATTTTCTAAAGTTTTCGTGGGAAACAATAGTCAGTCAATTCTAAAGATTTACTGGCATTTAAAGAGAAGTTCGCTCTCATTGATTATTCCACTTAACTACATTTGCTTAATAGTAATATATTTTTTAAATTACTGTTTGTTTTTTTTAACAAAGACAACTTCTATCATTCAAACAATTAAAAACAGCAGAGGAAATTCATGCATTACAATCTAAATTTTTATGATCTTTATTAAATTGATATTTTTCACACTTCTAAATTTGAATATTTTTATTTCGGCTTTCTCCTTCCTGGAGCAGTGAGGGCCTTTTATCCATAAGAGGGCCCACAATGGGGATAGCCGGGATCCACTATATCTGGGATAAACCGTCGTTGAAAAATCCCCGAAATTGCTCGGCAGGATTCGATTCCGGATCCTCCAGTGTAGTAGGCTGACGTTCAAACGTACCGGCCTTGGATATTTTTAGACCTTTCATCTATTAATAATAATAATTGATGCATTCTTAACTATATTTGTTTATCTCGAAGCATTGCGACAATTAAGCGTGTTCGAGTGGCGATTTTAGGGATTTAACTTTTTCAAAACTTCGTCTACTCCTTTTTTTTAAACTCTTCTTAATAAAATATTAAAGTTAAATATATATATAGAGTAATTAAATAATAATAAATTGACATTTATTTATGTATAAGTAGGATGTATAGAAGAGAGAGATAGTTATTCCACTTATCTTAAACGATATTAATAAATGCATATTTAGTACGAATTAATATAATTTTCAAGCAAATTAATATGTTAGGTTATGCCCACCTTTTATTCCCGATTATAATGCAATAATAAGCAGATTCGATCGATATTGCGATCGTATAAACTAAATAATATTTATAATCTCGAAGCTGGTTCGAGATGTAATCCAAAATATTGATTCTGAGACTTCTTGAATCACAATACACGAAAAGTCAGCGAATATTTTACGTCACGTGATTCTTTACATTCGGTCGGCAGGATTTATTGATTCGAAAATAAAATATTTATTTGGATTATTCTTTCATGCTGTTTTTTTTTATTTTAACAAAATATTTTTGTACTTCAAAAAATTTTATTTAGACGTAATAAGTGAATGAAACGTAATTACAGTGTAAATCCCTTCTCTACACGTTCCAATTTATATTGTTCTACCAGCGATGTACAAAATTCATTAGTGTTATATGGAGCGATAATTGTGATTTGAACAATTTAAATGAATTTTTTGTGGGTCGAATGAGAGCGTCAATTACAGGAAGGACAATTCGGTGTACAGAATGCCATCTGTTAATATCGGACGCACCAGATAATTGGAATGCCACTTGGAAACTGCTCCAATTTAGCCAAACAATAGGTCTAAAGGCTTAAGTTGTTTATATCTTGATATCAAAATGCGAACACGAAACAGTTTTGGACCATAATCGAGTTAATCTCAAATAGACTAATTTTCGATTTGATTCGTGCCTAGTAGTATGGGCGTTAAACATCTGCATCCGAGTGTATCTACATGAATAATACGCTTAATATCAGAGTAATTAGTTTATGTTTATAAGCGGCAGTTGTGTGAAAGATCCAGATTAAAATTATCAAACTATAGAAACTTAATTAAACAAATCAGAATGCTTCTATAATTTCGTTGGATTTTTTCCAAAGTCAAAATCGTAAGCGTGGAGAAACCAGCGCTTAATTGATCGATTATATATAAAAATTTTCGATAATCTTTCCGTATTTGGAGAAGTTTAATCTTTAAATAGACTTAAAAATTTTCTTTGTAAAACAATTAAAAATATTTGAAATAATTACTAAAGTTTATAATTGTATTAAAAGTCGGGCGAAGCCGCAATTAAATTTTGCTTCTGCAAATTAAAGTATTAAAATTTTATTATGATATACTTATATAAATCGCATTAGGAAACAGAATTAGTCGGTTTTAACGACATATCAATTATGGTTTAATNTTAATTTTCCATTTAATAAATAATATTTTACATTTTTCTATTTACTTCGTGTGGTTAGAACTTGCTCAAATGTTCTATCCTATAAAAAATTGACAATTTAATTAGCAATTCCTCGCAGATACACTAATTGTTAAGAAACGTAATAATTCAATTATATTTTCATAAGTGCAGT